TGGTGTACGAATCCATGCACGCCCCGGGGCCTCTATATATATTGTCCACCCGACCGGTAGCTATGACACGCACTGACCACCAGGAGCAGACACTCAACACAGGAGCTGCCATGACATGCACTAACCATTTAAAAATAAACGGGCACCACGGACCTGGCACCAACAAACCAATGCAGGCCTTGCCACCACCCTGGAGCGACACCCCACCAAATCACAGCCAACGCTGCCAAGACCCCATAATGCAAAATTCAGCCCAGCCTGGAAACAGTCGCTGTGGGTGTCGGGTAATGATGTCACATAGCAGTGCCTGCCTTCCTCTCCTAGCAACTAGCCTTCTTGGAGTTTCTTTAGTGCAGGAACCCAACTTGCTTTATAGCCAGGTGCATTTTATAGTTTAACTAAATGTCTGTGAAGCATTTTCCCGTGCCTCATCTCATTTGATCCTCACAGAAGTCCTGGAGTAGGTAGATAGGAGACTTGGTGGAATACTATTTTCTTTTCATAAACTGGAAAACAGAGATTTAGAAAGCTTAGAAACTTGACCCTACTGATATTCTCCCTTTCTCTATAATAGAAGTGTGAACCAAATTCATGATCGACAATGACAGATGGAAACACACGAGTGCGACTGGCACCAGAGAGAGCTTTATATGTATCGCACTAGTGCGAGTCAACTTAGCTTTTTATATATACAGAATAAACTTGCTTCAGTAGACCTGCTTTCGGATTTAGCTAAACTTTTTCCAGCCCAGTGAAGCATCCCAACTTCTCTTTCAGGTAACTGTCAGCAACACAATAGTAAATATCAACACGAAGCACATTGTTATTGTAGATCAGGCAGGGAGAACAAAGGGTAAAATATTTAACTGCAGCAGTGTTTGACTATGTTCTGCACAGTGAGAAAACCTGAAGTCATTTTTGAGATCCACCATTTCTCTTCACAGACATTTGGTTACAGTGTAAAGTGTTTCTACCTGGCTATAAAGCAAGTCGTCATAGCGACCAGGCAGAAGGTGGGAAGGACACTTAGCATATAGGCTAAGTTGACTCACGCATGTGCGACACATATAAAGCTCTCACTGGCACCAATTATGTGTGTGTTTCGATCTGTCATTGTTGATCGTGAATTTGGTTGACACTTCAATTATAAAGGGGGAATACCAATATTAAAATATTTCTTCTAATTAATTTCCTTTCAATGTGCATGAATCCATGCACCGGGACACTAGTATTTAATAAAACCCTTCCATGAAGTCCGGCTGGGGCTGGCTGGTGTGGTTCAGTGAATTGAGTGTCCTTCCATGCACCAAGAGGTCACGGATGGATTGATTCCCGGTCAGGGCACATATCTGGATTTCAGACTCGACTCCCAGTAGGAAGCAGCCCATCAATGTTTCTCTCTCTCTCTTCCTTCCTTTCTACCTAATAATATTTTTTAAAAAATCTATTATTAAAAAAATCAACAAAAAACAAAACTCCCACCAAAACTTCATTAGGACATTTTGTTCTCTGAGGTCACCTGCTCTCACTTCTCAGTGCATACTATTACATGAAGAAATGTAGTATGCTTTGCTAAATGTAACGCTTGAATTATTTCTTCTCCTGTGACAAGAACCTGGACCCCGATATTAGGTTGAGGATTCCCTGGGTGCCTGCCAGCATAACAACTGGTTAAGAGTGATATCTCTTTCCTTTGACTTTCTTCCACCATACTTTGCATTCCGTCAGGTATAAGTGGAAGGGCCTTGGGCATTTGGGGATTGGCTAAATTGTTAGGGATACGTTTAGTTTGGGTTTTTTAGGGTCACATCTGTGGTTTGCAATTACTTCTGTGAGTGAAAAACACTATTGTTATGGCTTGAATTATGTCCCCCTCCCCCAAAATTCTTATGTTAAAGTCCTAACTCCTAGTACCTCATAATGTTTTCAGAGATAAGGTCTATAACAGCCGTGGGCAAACTACGGCCCGCGGGCTGGATCCGGCCCATTTGAAATGAATAAAACTAAAAAAAAAAAAAAGACCGTACTCTTTTATGTAATGATGTTTACTTTGAATTTATATTAGTTCACACAAACACTCCATCCATGCTTTTGTTCCGGCCCTCCGGTCCAGTTTAAGAACCCATTGTGACCCTCGAGTCAAAGTTTGCCCACCCCTGGTCTATAAAGAGGTAATTAAGTTAAAATGAGGTCTGAGGGGAATCCTAAACCAACATGACCGGTGTCCTTATGATAAGAAATTCGGACACAGACATGCACATAGGAAAGACCATGTGAAGACATAGTAAGAAAATAGCGACCTACCTATAAGCGAAGGACAGAGGAACTTCAATGAAACCAACCCTGCTGGCACCTTGATCTCAAACTTCTAGAATTGAATTTCTGTTAAGTCACCCAGTCTGTAGTATTGTTACGGCAGCCCTAGAAAACTAATACGTACAGCTTCCAGGAATACTCCTAATGTCAACAATTCTGGAACACAGGCTGACGCCACAGAGGGACCCTAGGCCGTAAGCCATGGCGTGAAGCCCTGAAAAGCCCCCACCTACCTCTCCTTGGACGTCTGCTCCTCATGCTGACTCCTCTTCAGCATATGTAGTTTCACTTATACCAGAGTGGATACTCCGCAGTGACATCACAGTTTGGCTATTATGATGTAATGAGGAGGCATCTGATTATTCTCACACTAGAGCTTGATGGGTAACTGGACTTTTCATCACTCAGGTGATGTGGAGACAGTACTACGCTAGAACTTGACATTTTTCAAGGATGCCTCCCTTTAACACTGATTTCTGTTGCTCCATTGTTTTAGACAGAGGCCCTTGCTTTTCCTCCCTCTCATATTTCTCATGTTTGGCTTTAGGGTTTCCCTTGGTAGGGAAAAGGGCTTTGCTCTTCTCTCCAGTGCTTAAGGAGCAGGATGTAACTTGGATTGTCCCCTTAAGGAAAACAACCTCCACTCAAGGGGAAACACGGGACTTCTACCCAAGCTCCCTTTAACTGCACCAGCAGCTGGTGCGACCTGCCAGGAAACTAAAGCACTGTGCCCTAATAACTTTTCTTATCACTGCTCCAATGGTGGTGGGATCTTTTACTAGGGAATCACATACCTGGGTGCCCAACTCCTTCCCACCCAACTTTTGCATAGGCAGAGGACTCTAGTAGAGAGGGAATAGGACTTTTACGAAATGAGATGACCAGGAAACTTGCCTCTGTGTCTCTTGCTGTTCTTGGCCAAAAAACAAACAATACTTCTCAATATCTGATGATAAATTCTTTTCATATTTCAACTTTATTTCAAACATGAGGTCTTTTATCCAGAAGGGAGAGCTGGTGCATGAGGAAGCTGCAGTGAGGCACAATACTAGTGGGTTTGGGGCCCAGTGACTAGGGCTGCACTATGAAGGGGTGGGAAGACTCTGGGCCTGATGAGAACAGTAGTTTGTGGTGAATTCACAGGGCAAACTTTCCTTTCCTATCCAGGTTAGCTACTCAATGGGTAGATTATGCAATCTTTGTAGCAACTTTAGTGATATCAGCAAAAGAAGTGCCAAAGATGGGAACATAGAGAAAACTATCAGTTCCTCTTGTTTCTCTTTATGCCTGGATGGGGAAGAGAATGGAAACTAGTAGCAGAAAATGAAACATTTCTGATATTCCTTGCCATGAAAAACTGTGGGTCTGATTGTGCAGAAGCCTGTTTCATAGCCTGGGAATAGGATGTAGTCAAGAGGCCTGGGTTTAAGCCCCATCTTGAGCTGTACTAAAAAAAAAAAAAAAATTCTTTGACCCTGCTGGAGTCACTTTTCATCTCTGGATCCATGTCCCCGTCTGTATAGGAGCCAGGACCCAGTGATCTCTAAAGACAAGCCTTTTTTCACAGGTCTCTGGTTCTATGACCCATGGAATACAAGGATCCACAGGAGCGCCAGAGAAACACAGGAATTAGAAGCAAGGGAGTTAGATTGGAAAGCTCAGGAGTTAGGGCTTATTATGAAGAGAAATGATGACCTACATTCATAATGATAAAGAAGGAAGGCTATGAGACATCTGACGTCTGGATGAGAGAAAAAGGCAACAGTGTTCCTGCTGTGTTGCTTCAAGGACCCAAGCCCCTGACTTTGGTAATAGTTTCTCTTCTGGAACTTTCTAGTCCACGGCTGATATACTGTAAATTGCTCCTGTTCACATAGTCTTCAACCTTGCAGTGGTTCTTAATCTTCCTAATGCCGCGACCCTTTAATACAGTTCCTCATGTTGTGGTGACCCCCAACCATAACATTATTTTTGTTGCTACTTCATAACTGTAATGTTGCTACTGTTATGAATCGTAATGTAAATATCTGATATGCAGGATGTATTTTCATTGTTTGCGACCCACAGGTTGAGAACCGCTGCTTTAGAGGAAAGTCCCCACCACAATGCCTAACACTCATAGTGTTTCCTGAGTCGTATCAGCTTACCCCCAGGCCCTGGGGCAGCTCTATATGGGAAGAACCAGACTAGTGTGCTGGGTCTATAAAGCTGAGAATGGGCCAGTAACTTCTTACAAACCATGGATTACCCTTGGTTCCCTGCCCCCAACCACCTTGCATTTATCCACTAATACCAGGACTCTGAGAGAGGGCCCAAGCACACAGAGCACCCAGCAATGCCTTCGTCAGGGATCCTTCTAGCAGCAAGTTTAGGCAACTGGCCTGTTCAAAGCTAGTGGTAGGAGTGTAAAAGGGTGTGGCACACGAACAGGTATGGAGGGTTGGCTAGGATCAGGGGAGAATCCCATGGTATGGGTTCAAATGGATTCCAAGTTCTCTAGCAGGCAGGTGGGTTAATCCCTTGCTGATCCTGCAGAGCTGGGACACTAGCATAGGAGACAGCAGCAAGCTCCTGGAAGGAGATGAAATGTGGGACTCTCAGTGCTTTGCCTTCTCCAAGCCAGTTCAGGAGACCGAGAGGATGGGAAGGCAGAGCACAATTAGAAACCGCATTTTTTTTCCTAATAAGAAAAAATTGTTTTTAAAGGAAAAAAATGTAACATCACAATTATGCACAGAGGCTCTGGAGATTTCCTGGGTTCATAATCCTAGCTCTGCATTCACTACCTATGTAATCTTGAACAAATTACGGTTTTAGAGTTTCCTATCTCTAAAACAGGGTAATATTATAATGCATGCAAGACACCAGATTTTAGTGGATACGTAAATGTGTACTATTACAATTGTTAATACAACATAACAGTAATGCATACATATTAAGCAAGAGATTACTACACACTGAGCCTCAACCCAATCTCCCTCTCCATTATCCTCCCTTGGGCTCTTCATTGATGACTATTAAGTGCATTGGTTGGTGGCTTCCAGTACAGTTTCTCTCTTCACTCTGCTGGAACTTTGACCTGAAGATGATCCATAAGATGCATGAAATTTTTTTCTTCACCAGAAGGATGATATTTAAAGGGGCATTTGTTTGAGGAATGACTCAGAGTCCCTCTCTTTCAGCCATCTTTCTTCAAAGGATTAAGGCTTTAGACGGGAGGGGCATGGTAAAAAGCCCTATATTGTATTCCGAACGCATGTACAGGTACATGCTCATGCACTCTCTCCCTTAATGACAAGGAAAAGGGGGCTGCGGGAAATTTTCTTTGAGAAATCAGTAAGAGATAGAAAAGGGGACGGGGAACTGGTTACCTGGGAGCTCCTTGTTCCTCTGCATCAGGAACTGCTTCTTTTCGCTCTTCTCCCTTCTAGAAGACTGTGAAGAAAGAGCCTGAGGGAGGAAGGTGGGTCAATCATGGTCTTGGAGAAAAAGTAGGTTTTCCACCCCTTCTGTAGGGAGAAGGAATAGCACAGGTGAATAAGGATGAGAGGGAAACAAATAGAAATAGAGATAATGAAGGCAGATGCCCTATATGCTAAACGAAAAGTGAAAGTGATGAGGGAGTGGAGGGAGTGACAGGAAAAAAGAAAAGCAAAGAACTTAGGAACAGAATAAGAGGAAAAGAAAAATAACCAGCAGAGGTTAACCAGGAAAAAAAAGGCATAAACATGAGTGGGCCAAAGTCCGGCTCTCCTACTTCACTTGCTCAAAATATGGAGCAGACTGCCATCTTCTGGAGCCACTTAATTTTCAAGTTGTTTTGATTTTTTTTTTTTAATTTGAAATGATCTCCCTTTTATGCCCATAATCCTTTCTCCTCAAGAGAGCCCCCAATGTTGTTTCCTTTCATCTTTGGGACCTCCACGCATCACCGTCCCCAAGAGAGATGCACCTCTTCAAAGCTATCTCAGAGAACCCAGGCTGGGGCCAGAGCAAAAAGCAAGGGCAGAGGATGGGCTGTGGTTTGAGAGGCTTATACTGAGGTTGCAGGCTGGTTTGGGGATGTTTCCTGGGCTGTGGAAGACCTATCCTCAGCCCCAATCAGATGCTAGGGGCTCTGTGTGTTCTGAACTGTAGCTCTCCAACTGTAGGTTGGAGAATGTGGCTCCTCATCTATACTGTGCCACTCGCAGATCATAAAATGTCAAAGCAAGGGTCCGCAAGAGATCACCTAATCCAAATCCAATTTCCCAAGGAGGAAACTGGGCCTCGGAGAGGTGAAGGAACTTGTCCAAAGTTATATAGCTAGTCAGTGACTTCCTTGTCTTCTGAAGCAGAAGCAGATTAGTGATTCTTGGGATTCACTGTCCCTTGACAAATACAGTCCATAAAGTGCGTAAAGGTCATTAGAAGGCACCCCAGAAAGGTAAAGCGGGCACTTCCCGGGAAGCCCCTGAGTGTATCAGCCCTTTAGGCGCTGCGTGATTTGGCTGCAAGGGCAGGCCTGGAGTTGGTTTTGCCTTCATTTTAACCCCGAGGGCCGTCAGGAGGCTGGAGGAAGGGGCTCTGACTGCGACCTGCCATCACTCTCCAGCCAATTCTGAGACTGAAGCCAGGGACAATCAGGAGTGACAAGGGAATCCCATCACGATGCCAGGGTCAGGGAGCAATGGCCAAGTTCCTAGAACTTTAACAAGGCAATTACGGCTGAATTAAAGCTGGGATGGGCAGGGTTGGGGGACCTGAGGTGGCACACGTGGCGGG